AGAATTTTGTAGTACTAGTATTACTATTAGATTTCGTATTTATTTAGCATTATATTTTATTGAAACGTTTCAAGTGCCTGTGGTGCCCGCCCCCTCGTGCGGGTCGCAAACGTAATTTTGTTTCTACTGATTTCTTTACAGTACTACGGTACGCGCTAATAATGTGTGTGCGAGTGCGTGCGAGCGTTTCTATAATTGTGTTAATGTGTCAGCACTTACCTTCCGCAAGAGTGGGCGTGAGAGTAATGTCGTGATCGAGAAATTGACCCCACTGCATTACCATTAGGGATATGGCCGGGTCGATGTTCTCCGTCTTCATGTGTACTGTCGTGCTAACGAGTCGCACATTTGGCAAAGCCTCCCCTCCTACGGCCGTCAGTCTCGGCTCCTCGACTATAACGATTGCAATGAATTACTATACAGTAAGACACTCACTGAATAATGCGCCTATTATTATTTGTCGCATGAAAATCGAATTATTATTCGTTAGAAATTTTATTCTTTTTTCTCTCTAATGCTGCTATCCTACCATTATATGCACCCACCCGTTACCTCCTAGCGCCTGTTAGGTAATCCCACAGCCCACAGGGGGCGCTACCGGCCACATTTGTGGAACTACGCCTAGAACCACTGAACTATAACAATATATAACATTGTTATATGTCAGTGACTAGAACTTGCCTGTCACTAATAACTTCATGCTCCAGCATACCTCGCCTAACTACACAGGCCCTAGAGCGTGGCACCGGCCACATCGGCAACCACTACTCTAATGACTTCATGACCTAGTACGCTTAATCGGCTCGGGTCATTTTCAAGCAGACGATCGCATAATGCATCTCCCCACGTACCGGTGTCTTCGTAGTCAGCAGGCAGTAACCTGCGCAGTGCTATGCCAGACATCCCCCACGTCGGGTTGTCGAAGTTGTTACACGAACCGTCCATGGAAGGCACTGTGGTGTCCCTCACCGTGCAGTCTATCTCATCGGCCACTACGTCCCCTGGACACAAGATGCCAAACACAGCTGGTCCTACCGGACCCAGCCCGCGGGTAATGTTTCCATTTAGAGCCCTGCAGGAAAATCGAGAATGCAGGAAGCTAGAGTCGTGTACGCGTTAAAAATCAGGGGAACACGAGAGGAACCTTTCACGTCGGATCAACGCGCGTTAGCTTAATGATTTTTTTAACGAAGATTTTTTTACAGTAGATCGTACTGATCCCGTATTCACGTAGCGTGTTATCAACTTATCACTGGGTATGTTAGGAGACTTCGGTTGGAATGATGAGCGATGTACCGAAATGCACAGCACAGACACACACAGACACACACACACGCGCGCGCGCACATGCACGAATGCACGCACGCACGCACGCACGCACGCACGCACGCAC